AGGTCTGGCAAATTATTACCGGCGTTTCGTAAAGGGATTAGCTAAGATCGCCAGCCCGCTACATAAATTAACCGATAAGCCGGCGAAGAAAAATTTTAAGTGGGAGAAAGAGCACGATGAGGCGTTTAAAGAATTGAAGTAAATGCTCCGCTCTACTTTGATTCTAGTATTGCCAAACTTCGAATCGAGCGCCCAATCGTTTGTACTGGATATGGATGCGAGCGACGCGGCCGTGGATGGTGTACTCTCACAAAAGGATTAAAAAGGTTCAGTAAAAAAGTGAGACAGAAAGGTTCAACGTTTAGGGAGGGGAAGAACTGCAATCACAACTAGGCACGGAAGGCAACAAACCCCTCACCAGATTCGAACTTTCAGGTTGCCTCCTCCCTGAAAGGTACATTAAAACAGCATAAGTATTTCACAGCCATATAGCCCAAAGGTCCTAAAAAAAGTTATTAAATAACAGAGCTGTTTTTTGTTACTGTTAGGCACATCTTTGATCTATTTTGCGGTTTCACGAAACCTCTGGAGTAAGTTTGCAGAAATGCGGATGTATACATTGGATTCGCCTTCCCTCCACAACAGGCAGGATGTGTTAATCCGGCGAAAGAGATGAAAAGCGTCGTTGTCCCTTCAGGGCTCTTTCACTCACCAGCAGCGTAGCGCCTCGCACCGCCTTTGGCGATGAACTGCTCTCAACTGAAGTCGTGTGTGTACGTGTGTGCCCAGGTGAGCGATAACCAATAGGCAACGTGTGTAGGAGAGAAGTTTCCACCAATCGATCGGTGGATCGCTTTCCCCACCTAGATGAGTCAGCTACGTGGCGTCCACCCACCCACCAGCTAGTCCACTATTCGGCAGCTTGGTCAGCGCTGTTTGGATTTGCTGCCGACGCTGACATTCAAAGTGGAGGGTTTAGAGGGGAACGCAATGCTAAGCAAACGCGATCTCAGCTGGGTAAAGGGGTTCCTGACATTTTGCAAAAAAAAAGGCAAAGACAAAGAATTTTTAGCAAAATCTAGAACGTGCACGTTCTTTTGGAGATTTTAGACGCATAAAAGTATTTTGAAATAAGTGTTGTGCAAATCCGTTGGCAGTTATGGGAATTGTTGATTGAACATGGCCATGGAGTGATGTCATTGAGAGGGAAAGCGGGTATTTTCATGGGCAGGAAACGCGATCTCACTTGTGCGATCAGCCGGTCGCTAGCTAGGAGGCAGGAACGGTGGAGGTGGAAGTGCGTGCAATACGGTTTATAAGGTAGTCGCTAAAATAGCCAAAAACATTGCTAATCACTGCTAGTACAAATCCCGTGATAAAGCGAATTTATAGGGTTGAGGACAAAAAAAAGTATCCGTTAGAGTAGAGACGTGGTTGAAGAAGTAAGGCTACGAATGAGGTGAGAGAGCCTGCCTCCCGCACTAGTTCGCTGGCTACCTC